ACCGTCATAGTTGAAGAGATACTCAAAGGCTTAAACAATGATTGATGTTCACTTCTCAATGTTCATGAGGAACAATTGTTCTTAGTTTATTGAAGCTTATAAACAAATTATTACACCCGTCTGGGTGGATAAACAATAACGTCTGATTTACATTGACGTTTCATGGAGTCAGGAACATTTATTTAAAACTTGTCTATGAAGATGTATATTTATATGAGCTATATATCTTCTTTTTTTTCCTTTTAGGCTTCTTTTCCACAGATAGCAATCTTGAAATTCTTTCATGTTTATATGTTCATTTTATAGATAAGAATATTTAAGTAAATGTTCTGTTTATAATAAACAGTATTAACGACATTAACCGGCCTGAATGTCAGAGAAATTTTCAAAGAAAATGTGCGTCCTCCGACGGGAATCGAACCCGTATCCTATACGGAACCATCATATAGCCTGACGTGGTTTAACCGATTGAGCCACGTCAACTAAATTTACTCAAATCTAGAAGCAAGCATAACAAAGAGTTAAAAGGAAAGGTTTCGTCATATGAGGTTTTGAAGTTTCGCAGAGTTTGTGATTTGAAGAACACAACTCAATTAATGTTCACGGGATTTTGTCATCTGAAGAACTCAGTTTTAACGTTGAATTCGAATTTCGGTCCACATCGGTCTTTTGGCCGTAATTGGACTAAATCAGAGTTAAAGTGAGGTTTTGAAATTCCATGAAGTGCATTGAGGAATTCAAAGTTATCTCTTCAAAATAATAATTCATTGTCTAAGCTGGATCAGTGGTCCATTTAGTTTTCGTTTTCTTCTTCTTCTTCTTCTTCTTCTTCTTCTTCTTCTTCTTTATTATTATTATTATTATTATTATTATTATTATATGTGACAAACTGGAAAAATATATGTGTGTGTATGTGTGAATACTGAGATCAAACAGAGTGGCGACAGACTGTTTAATGCTTGAACTCAGTTTTCTTTTTTTTAGTTTTGGGCCGGACGCTCAATTAGCCCTGCGATGTAGCTATCTTAAAAGTCCGCACAGAGTACAGCTTTAAGCTAGAATATACATATATATATATATATATATATATATATATATATATATATATATATGTCGTGTTATTTTTATTTAATTCGGCTTCGTATAATTTATCGCTTTGCCTTTCACTTCATTGTTTTTGAAAAACACACAAATGAGGAATGTTGCACATGATATAGAATAAATTAACATCTGCATCAAACAAAGATGTCTGCCTCAGGATCGATTATGAGAAAATCGAAGAGAGTTGATAACGTCAGATGTCTGCAATTTCTACCATTTTCCCCAGCAGCAAGATTAGCATACAAAGTATTTACTAACCTATAGTTTCTGGTACCTAAGACATAAAGTTTCCTCGTCACAAAAATAAATAGCATTTTCTTTATGTTTCTAGTATATTAAGCACGTCGTTTCTGTCCAGCCGACAATTGTAAGACGAAAACTAATGAGAAAACCGGTGAGATTCCTTTGGAACCCGGTCTGTAAGCTTCTAAGTGGAGAGGAGGCTGAGCACTGTCTGCCAAACCTGGGTCAGTATATTCTATGAGGTGAATCGATGGCCGAAAATAGTGAGGTCCGGAATGGTTTGAACAGGTTCCTGCTACAAGACTTGCTCTGAGTTTTATCTTGCAACTGATCGCAGAAGACATGAATTTTAATAAAGAAAGTGTGGCAGATTCTTGCAGAGGATAACACATTGATAAAAATGTACACGAGAATGGTACCTTGAATATTGACGGATGAGCACAAACAAAAACTATTTAAATTATTCGGACTATTGTCCTCGCCTTTGTCGCCATATTAATTACAACGTTACGGCCTCTCAGTATCTGTCTATATTTCTGAGATGAGACATTCTGTACACTATTTACATTATTCGGACTATTGTCCACATCTTTGTCGCCATATTTATTACAACGTTTCGGCCCTTCAGTATCTGTCTATATTTCTGAAATGAGGTATTATGTACACTATTTACATTATTTGGACTATTGTCCTCATCTTTGTCGCCATATTTATTACAACGTTTCGGCCTTTCAGTATCTGTCTATATTTCTGAGATGAGGTATTATGTACATTATTTACATTATTCGGACTATTGTCCTCATCTTTGTCGCCATATTTATTACAACGTTTCGGCCCTTCAGTATCTGTCTATATTTCTGAAATGAGGTATTATGTACACTATTTACATTATTCGGACTATTGTCCTCATCTTTGTCGCCATATTTATTACAACGTTTCGGCCTTTCAGTATCTGTCTATATTTCTGAGATGAAGTATTATGTACACTATTTACATTATTCGGACTATTAGCGCCATATTTATTACAACGTTTCGGCCGTTGTACGCTCCGGCCTTCTTCAGGTGGTTGGAATTACGAACTGAACCCTTTAATTCGCTGGCTGGGTTAGACTGTTCTAGTTTCTACGCGCCAAGTTTAATGGATGTCAGTTATCTTCTGTTAATTTCCCTCTCCAAGTTCCCCACTGCCTTAACCGGGTATTGAACTCACACATTTTGGGTCCCATCACTGGATCTAACCAACGCCTTTATCAACTGTGTCATGTGTCCTTGAGGTACGTGGAATTAGAAAAGTCTGCCCCAGTGAGTGAAATAAATGGTTCAGTTTGACATTCCAACCACCTGAAGACGGCCGGAGCGTACAACGGCCAAAGCGTTGTAATAAATATGCCGACAAAGATGAAGACAATAGTCCGAATAATATAAATAGTTTAAAGACTTCAACTCATCCTAAAATGTACACATCTTGTTCGCATTTAAAGACTATAGTTTTGTGTTTCCGTAATCATAATTCTGGTGCAAGGATTAAATATTAACATATTTGAAAATGCCGAAAGTTTTATCTATATGTTCGTAATGTCAAAAAGCTTACATTTCACTAGACAAATGTATTCATTACCATGTCAAGTCTCCTGTCTATGATCCGTTATGAGTTTGCCATATATGTTATTGATCAAACTTAACTCCTTGAGATATTCCGTTATTTCTAGAACTGCAAAAACTATGAGGGCACAGAAATTTGCTGATAATCTCCGAAATTAAATTATTAAAATTTATTCCAGAAAACGTGTTCTAAGAATATTTCAAACAATGGTAACTATCGTCACATTTAGTTCTAATCTTCAAAAGAAGAAAATAGCAGTCATCAATAATGAATTATTAAGCAAACTAGGATTTCAAGGCCATTCTCATGGGATCAGGAGAAGAGATTTATCCCTTGTTCCCTGTCTAGGATTGGTTTTGCGGTTCATTCTAAAGTCGACTCTATACATCGGATATCCCTGCCTGAACACTGAAATCTTTTACTATTTATTTTTCTTCGCCCCAATTGAAGAAGACAGGTTTGCCTTTCGTTCGGTTCATACTCCTCCCTAGTCTTTTGAACAGGAGAAGAGGTTTATCCCGTAATTTATATTTAGGATTTTGTTTCGGGTTCATTCTAAAGTCTGCTTCAGTACTATATTTCTAAAGTTTCTGTCTGAAATTCTATTCACTAATTATGCCTTTGATCTCAAGTCTAGAATAAACTGTTATCTTTCGTGCATAACGCCCAAGAACTTCACTTGTTGCCCTTCCGTACGCTAATATAAGAACACACAGTACCCTCTACATTGAGTTGCTCTCCAGCCTTGTATTGGGTGAATTTTTGTAAAAGAAAAAATTAGAAGAAAAAATCCTCTAAAACAAAACTTATAACATTTCATCACCACTGATGCGACACTCATACGTAACAGTAAAATTAACTGATCTTTTATTCAAAACCTTTTTAGGGAAAACTACATTAATTTCATATTTATCTCTCAATAGTTTAAATCACAATAAAGTAGGAGAGAACCGCTCATCATTAAGACTGAAAAGGGAAACTTCACTGGATAACGCCATTTTTTTCATACAGTCGTAACTAAATTCTATAAAAAAAATAAAATGGGTAAGTTATCTTAGATATTTTCTCTGATAGCTTTCGATCGTTTTAGTGCAAATATTAGTAAATATTAGTTTAACTTACTACGACTAAACTATGAGCAGTCTTGAAATGTGGACATATAGGAGAAAGTCTGTTTCGCCATAATTCCAAGTCTTGAGGTTTAGCTTAGAAAATCATCATTTGATTTTCAGAGGTCTACCATTGGTCTAAAACATTGACCATTATCTTTACTCGTATTCTTGAAAGATAACTACAATCTTCAGTTCTTTGTCACAATAGGCAAAACACAAAAGAATACATTTTAAAACATAATCAAAAGTACATTTTTGAGAATGATATGAATGAAGTGAGAGATAGATAATGATATGAATAGATAGATAGACAGGAAATGAAGAGTTTGAGAACGATGTGAATAAATTGAAATAGATAAATAGATATGAAACAAATTAGAGCGAATATAATATATTATTCTATTATTTGACATTTTGCTTTAAAATCTGGCGGATACCTTCTTTTGTATCCATGAATCTAATTGTCAGTTTTCCTTGTCTCTCGCATTTTAAAGGATTCTTACTTCAATTCGGAAGGAAATGAAACTTCTTAGCTATGGGCAGATCACTTTGAAAGGCATATAACGGTTTCAGCTGCGTAGGAATTTGTTAGAATCTCTAATAAGAATTAAATCACATCCAAACTTTACTTGACAAAGTTGAAGTCCATAGAAGCTTGATACCTAGAATATTTTTCTTTTTTATTGTCACGATTACACACGTACAGGGACAGGAAATAATGCGAAAAAAAAAGAGTGGTAATGAATAAAACCGGCATATGTGTATATATATATCCAAAGAGCACCAGAGAATGATAGATAGAGAATGATATGAATGAAGTGATAGATAGAAAGAAAGAAAGAAAGAAAGAAAGAAAGAAAGAAAGAAAGAAACGAACTGAGAAAAAAAGAAAAGCGAATTACCTGGTACATATATATATATATAGAGAGAGAGATAGATAGCTAGATAGATAGATAGATAGATAGATAGATAGATATAAACAGTAAGATAGATATGAACAGTAAGTTACATAGATAGATATGAAGAGTTAGATAGATAGATATGAACAGTAAAATGTATAGATATGAACAGTAAGATAGATAGATAGATAGATAGATAGATAGATAGATAGATAGATAGATATTGAACAGACTAATATAGATACATAGATAGATAATGAACAGACTAAGATAGATAGAAATATAGATAGATAATGGACAAAGATAGATAGATAATGGGCATAGATAGATAGATAATGGGCATAGATAGATAGTGTTATGGAAACTTACCCATAATAATAATAGATTATCCTGACATATATCCTGATTATCCTGCGCCTCTCAAGAGGTATGGGGAGATTGTAAGACGAGGAGAGATAATTGAGAGCATATTGTAAGGATATTGGAATAGTGATACTTGTTGAGACAACATAGTTCACTCTAACCAAATCTGATAGTCATTACTAATACTTCTACTTCTTTGTATTATATTTATGTTGTAATATATCTTTGTATTCCATACCTGTGTTTGTGTTATTTATTAATTTGGTTCTAACCTTGAACCATCACCGTGGTACAAGGAACTTGGACCATAACAGATAGATAGATAGATAGATAGATAGATAGATAGATAGATAGATATGAACAGACTAAGAGAGAGAGAGCGTTGGCTTGAGATTGAGAATGTCATGAATGGAGGTGTAGATAAAGAGACTGAGAATGATATGGATGACGTGAGATATAGAAAAATAGATAATGAACAGATTGAGAAAAATATGGATGAATTGATATATAGATAGATATAAATAGGTAGATAGATAATGAAAACATTGATATAGAGAGTGAACAAATTGAGAATGATGTGAGATATAGATAGGTAGATAGATAATGAACTTATTGAGAATGATATGAATGAATTGAGAGATAAATAATGATATGAATAGATAGACAGCTAATGAAGAGGTTGAGAATGATGTGAATAAATTGAGATAGATAAATAGATATGAAACAAATTAGAGCGAACATAATATATTATTTTATTATTTGATATGTTAATATGAACTTGGCATTTATCCGACTTGTAGTCACTGAAATTCTTAACCTTATAATTTTGAAGTAAAAATCATTAACACTACGTTTTATTGCATCCCGCGGATAATATTGATGACTTCTTCTATTCTCATATACATGTCTTATAATGGTTGAGACCAAAGTTTCTATTGAATTTACATCTGACGATGCTTGGAATAATTCCATTAAATCGGTATGTTTTGGCAAGATTGCCAAAATCCAGCTTTGCAGATATTGGAGGAATATTTTCTTGCAGGAAGAGATTCATAGGTTTCATCGCAAGTGACAATTAGTATTACATTACTCGAAAAATAATGTCCGATTTTAAAATCCACGTTCATTTCTGAATTAATGTATTTAAACTGTTTAAATCTGTCAACATAGGAACCGTTAACATCGATCAATTTCTGTCATAGGGTTAAACATTTATCTATGCCTTTGCAATAAGGCTCTAAAGATGGTTACGCCAAGAAATATTTGAATTCCGTTTCTACATTTTCGCAACGGAATGTATTTTGTCTGAAAAAGTTTTCAAGATGCTTGAAAAAGCGTTAGTCTGAGCGAGTGATAAGGGGAATACTTTGGATATGATAAAGTTTCATATTCCAAGTCGGTCAGATTCTGCAGTGCTTTCGGGGCAACATGTGGCCTATCATTGTCATGCAGCAGATTTAAACCACGTTGATTAAACAGCGACGGTCGCATTTTGGTTAATTGAATGTGCATTTCATCTATTTGCTGTCAGAAAGCCTCGGCAGTGTCCATCTTGTTATATTACAGGATTTGTAGTGGATAACCTCAATGGCAGTTCACCAGAAAGTCACCATGATCTTCTATTGACGCAATTTTGATTTTGGAAAGTTATTGTATCCTTCGCCATTATCAAAGCATTGCCTGGATAGTTTACGATTGTCCTCGCGGATCCATCACAATTCACTATTCAGTCAATAAAAGGATCATTCAAATTTTGTAGATGCAGTATGGAATACCCTTCAAAAGATCGAACTCTCTGACTTTCATTGATTTCATGTGGAACCCATTTATCGAGTATCTTCACCTTGCTAATTTTCTCAAGATCTCCAATATTGTTGAAATGCTGGCATTTCTCCGACTCATTCACGTGCCATTTATGCGACTAGTGTTTACAGATGTTGGTTGGCAATTATTGTATGATGTCCCCAATCACCTTGAAATTCAAGGCTTTTACATTATTTACATTATTCAGACTATTGTCCTCATCTTTGTCGCTATATTTATTACAACGTTTCGGCCGTTGTACTCTCCGGCCTTCTTCAGGTGGTTGGGATGTCGAACTTAACCCTTTATTTCGCTTACTGGGGTAGACTGTTCCCGTTCCACGTGACATGTTTAATGGATGTCAGTTATCAATTATCTCCTGTTAATTCCCTTCTGAAAGTTCTCCAGCACTTTAACTGGGTATTGAACTCACACTCTTTGGGTCTTGTCACTGGAACAAACCAACGCCTTTATCCACTGTGCTATTACTAGTATACTTCTGTGCAATTATTATAATACTATATTTGCAAAGGTCTTATCCTAAAATCGGATATTGTTGTAGCATACCTAAGGACGATAATGGGTATGTCCCGATTCACATAAATATATTAGTAAATTCTGTATATTATTTGTTATAACCGTATGTTCTATGTGTGTAGTATCTTCTTCTGGCTTTCTACTTTCCTCTCAACTACCATCGTCAAATATTTAAATGCAATGCTAATCGTTATCTACTGCCTCGTTGCATCCTTTTTATGTTTTATCTTCTCTATTTCTTCATTTGCAGTAACCACTTAAATTTTCATGGTTCTTACCTCTTGCTTGGCATAGAAAGATTAAAAATAAATATTAACACTCTTGCATTCTATGTTGTGTTCATTGAGTATTTTCATGAACAACCTTAATTATCGTCAAATTTATCCAATATAGTATCCAAAAATCGAGATGATCTTAAGATTACACTTTGATCTCTCCTCTGACCTGGCACTAACAGCTCACCGGCGGAATAACTGCTTTGTAATATTTACTAACTATAAAACCAAACCATTATTGTTTCCTTGGCTACATCCGACAACAAGGCCAGTGATTGGGAAATTGTAGGTTTTTAGGAACCTGGAACCAACTCTTATTTGCTGTTGTTCTCAGGTCCACCTGGGTGGCAGAACCTGCTAGGGTCCCAGCTATGGACAAATAGTGACCCCCCCCAGACAAAAACAAAACACAATGAAAGTATAAAATTACATTTTGATGGTGTATAACACACTCCTAGCTGTTATGTTATATCTTGCTTAGGCTAGATGTGATGTATGTTAGTAATTCTCTTGACTGATTCCAAAGGACTGGAACCAACCTCCCCACAAGCTAGGATGTGGCACCAGGCCGATTTTTAAGTGGGGCGAATCCGAGCTCGTAGGCTCGAGTAAAAATTCCACGTAGACCACGCATACACGGGGTCAGGTTTGTCTACCTCCCCAAACGAGACTCTGCCCGTATGCATAGCCTCATCTGGTTTTCTCTTTCCAGACAGAGAATCCGACAAACTAGTTGCTAGCCTGGCAGCAAACTGCCGGACTCTTTAAGAGTTCTTTATTTAAGGCGTCTTGCTTAGTTCATTTGGGTCACCGAGGGTTTTATTTACTCTACAATATCCCTGCTTTTGAGATTTTCTTTCTTAGTAAATATTTAATTTTATTCTTAGTATTCGCCCGTCTCCTCTATCTGGCCTGTTACATAGTTAATTTGGATTACCGGGAGTGTAGTAATTTACATGACAATTAAAAACAGCAATACATTTTATAGTAAAATGACCAACAATAAACTTTATCTGCAGTTGAAATATATTTAGCTAAAGCCATAAAATCGTTTTCAAAATGTTTAGAATCCGGTACTAAATAACCCATACAGGTGTTGATATGCCGCTATACAAAATCAACAAGCCAAAGAACCATGAAACTCGTTCATTACATTAATCCATATTTTTCCTACAATTTCTTAAAGAAATCAAACTGTATTCAAAAATATACCTGAAACATAAAACAGACATATCATCGCATCTCGTAATTATGATCACACAGAAGCTAGTCATCATCAATCATATATTCGATTGCGAAAACACAGTAACATATATCATATTTTTATTACTTCAAAGCTAGCAAGAAAATAAAATTTCGGCATTAAATGACCCATAAGATGTTGATATGCTGTTAAACAAACAAATCAATCAATCTTTTCCCAGATTAGACTCTGAACCTTCTTCTGTTATGATGGCCGGTTTTACCCTCAGGGTGGCTCCATGCTTTGAATGTCTGATGGGCTCTGAATTTAACCCAAGGCCTCAAATGAAAGTCGTATATACGATCAATTGCTAAAGAGGCTGGACAAATTTTCGCCTCATACTATCCCTTCAAGATATACGTGACTCCTTCGACTCTGCTTAATATTTGACAATGTCAGATTAAACTAAAAATGGAGTCTTGCTGCTATGTCTTCAATATCTGGACTTGAGAGTTTAAATTCATTTAGGCTGTCTAGTGTTAAACACTTAATCTCCACAATGCAGCCTCTCTTCTATAGACCCAATTCGTAAGCCTATTGCTGTAAAATCGCTGTTTTCAGGGCAACTATTTAGACGGGTTTTCATTCTTCAGTTTCACTAGTACACCCATTTACTGCTTGGGCAAGGATGGTACTTAGCAGAGTCAAATCGAAACGACATTCCCCCTATTCTGATTTTAAGGGGGAAAGTTCATTTCAGTCAGATCTTTCTAAAATTTCAATCTTATTCTCTTCAAGAAAATGGTCAACCGTTATCTATCCTCCTTATCCTTATAATATTCACTTCGTGACACGTATTCTCATATCACACTTGGGTGACT